GGGGGAGGTGTTGGGCAGGGGGTGGGCAGGGTGCGTGGACCCCCACTGGAGGTGGGGGTCCGGTCGCGTTGGTCCCCAAAGCTTGGGAGGCTGGCATGCACCAGGCCGAATTAAACGTCTGAGATAGTCTCTGGGCGAAAAGGTGCTTTTCACTGTCGGTTTCCAACTCTTTGTTCAAGGGGTGTCCCACCCCCGGACCAGTGATTGAACAATAAACACGAGTCACTGCCTGTACAGTTTATGACATTTAATATTCATATTCAAGTCATGACAGTGATTGATTTACGACCTTGCCAAAAGCCAAGATCGTTTTAACAAGCACGAGCTGGAGCTGAAACCAACTGGAGTCTATAACAAGCTGGAGCCATCCATGAGCCAGGGCAGAAACAAATGAGCTGAAGCCGCAGATGAACTGGAGCTGGAACACAAGGCAGAGCCATCCATGAGCTGGGGCAGAAACAACCAGCCTGAAGAGGGAGCTGGGCCTGAAATGAATGGAGGCAGAAACAAATGAGCTGAGGGTGCGAACGAGCCAGAGCTGGAGCTGAAAATAGGGGGGAGCCAACATGGGACAGAAACAACCCAGCTGGAGCCACAAATGTGCTGGATCTGAAACCAGAGCAGAAACGAACTGGAGCCATCCTGGAACTGAACCTGCAAACAAACAGGAGCCCAAACCAATAAAGAAAGGAAAACATATGGGGGCCCAAACAACTGACCTGAAGCCCCACTGAGCTGGAGCTGCGCAGGCAGCCCAGCTTCTTCCTGGGGCTCCTGTGTCCGTCCCTGCGCAGGGAGAGATGTGGGACAATCAGCTCCTGGCAGCACAGCCGAGACCAAAGAGCCCCCGAGCTGCTGCCCCTGCAAACCTGCTGCCTCCCGGGCACGGGCAGCTCTGCCTGGCCCCTCGCCGGGGCTTTCGGCAGTGTCTCGCTGGTGCTACACACCCACGAGGGGAGGGGAGGGAGAGACGGGGACAGGACCCCAGAAACTTTTCCCCAGGAGAGTGGGCAAGAGCCAGGAACTGGCTGAAAACCCCCAGTACCCCATGCAGCAGCGGCGGCACAGACCAACAACCGTCAGGCCTGGGGCTGGGGCTAGCACCACACCAGTGCCAGTGGGGTCTGGGCCTGACCCGAGCAGCACCCGCTCCTGCCCCCCCAAATGCACAGCACCGACCTGCCTGGCCCTGGCTCGGGGTGGGTTGCGGGAACAGGAACCGTGGGCCTCCCCAGGGTCCCCCTGCACCCACAAACAGCCACGGGGGAACAACTATCGAGGTTGAACAACCTGAGGGATGTGCACCGGGACCCCTCCTTCCCCCCAAAGGCACCCACCCTCCCCATCCCTCGGCCAGCAGGACGAGGGGCAAAGCCAACATGCACCAAGCACAAAACCACTCCCCGAGCTCCGGCCAGGCACAGCTCCCTCGCACCCGCTCGGTCCTGGCAGCCCCCGTGACCCCACTCCCATGGCCGGGGACAGGACCCCCACCTGCCCTCCATCCCCAGGGACCCAGCCCGGCACTGGAGATCCCCCAGGCCCAGCTGGCCCCGGGAGCCGAGCGCCCCGGTCCCACCGCACAGCTCTGCTTGGTTGCTGCCTCGGGACACTCACCTCACCGGGCACGTCCTCCCCGCTGGTGTCCCCCTCGGGGCCGTGCTCCTCGCCCAGGCGTCGGGATGAGCCTTCACCATGCGGCACCGCATGGGCCGGCAGCAGCGGGATGGCCGTCGTTCCCCGTTCCCAGCCAGGTCGGCTTCACCATCTCACTGATGGGGCTGCGGGAGCCGGTGTGGGTCCCTGGAGCGGCCTCTGCTCCCACCGCAGCGCGTTTTGAGCTGAAAAAGAAGGTTTTCAGTCAAAGCAGGGCTTCACGCAGGGCCCAGAGCCGCCCCTGGGCCCTCACCATGCCAAGGGTGACGCCAGGCAGGCCCCAAGGGCTGAACCCCAGTGGAAACCAGTTCGCCCCAGCAGCAGGTCCCACACTCACCAGTCTGAGCTCTCTCTGGCTCCAGCAGAGGAGGGGTCCGTCCTGCCGGCAGCCGCTCCAGGAGAGCTGGGGCGAAGAAACCAGCCGGCGCCTGTGCCGGGAGGAGGCGACCCGGCCGCAGGAGGGGTCACCGGCCGCCCCGGGAGACCCCCAGCCCCGCCGGGTCCCAGTCTCGCCCAGGTCCTGGGTGGGAGACATGGCGTGCGGAGCCCCCACGGCCGGTCACCAGGTCACGGTTCAAGCAGGGGCTGATCCAGCGGTGCAAACGGGGAGCTGCCGGGGACCCCCAGCCCCACAGGCCGAGCTGCAGCCGCTGCCCCCTGGGTCCCGGCAGAGAGCCGGGGGGTCCGGCCCCGGGAGGGAACGGGGCAGCCCCCGCTGGCCGGTGCCGCCGCTCCCCCACCGGAGCC